ATTCCAATATTGCAGGTGCGTGAACCAGTGTGCCGAGGGAGAGGGGGTATTTTGGGAGTTTAAATACCACCATTCTCTCTCGGCCATATTTAAGCCAAAAAATGTATTATAATATACTAAAAATAGAAAATTTGAGATATTATGTGGATATTATAATATGTTATGTTAAATAACTTAATATTGTCGTCCCTAAAGAATGTTTGCCGTAGTTGAATAGTACCTACCTACTTTCATCCTAGAGTTTGTGAGTTCTCGAACCCGTGTTTCAACCTTTCCCCTTTTACCTAAACCAGGAAAAAATAAATGTATTTTGGGTGTATTTAGAGACCCAAGCCATTACTCGCTCAGACTATTTTAATCACAAAATATCCCTTGATTTGTTGTGCAAACTTTCTATCAAAAATCTTGCTCCGATGTATCAAGTGTAGCTTATTTTCTAAAAGGAAATTTTATCTCCAAGTTACCGACTTGGGGAGGTCAATTTTTGACTTACCCAGAAGTTTTCTCAGTAAGTGGGAAAAATCGTGAAAAACGGGAAAATGTACAAAATACATAAGTAAAGTATTACGATTTTTTTTCTGTAGAAAACTTTTTTACCAGCAATTTTGCTCCGATTTACAATGCTAGCACTTTTTCTAAAGGAAATCTGACTGTGGAGGTCATCTTTAGAGGAATCTTTAGAGTGATCATTTTTCGATTTTCCCAAGAGTTTTCCCAGTAAATGTGAAAAACCGGAAGAAAACATGGGAAAACTGAAAAAAGAACGCATGAAAAACGGGAAAATCGGTATAATATTCAACAAAAAGACGTCCTAGGAGGATAATAGGGACGGGTGCAGCCACTATTTTAGGTAATTTAATGTATACCTGTAAGCAACGATATAAACCATTGCTTACGAAAAAACGATTCCGAACGGAGTTCAGTTGATAGTGATGCTTTATCAACAATATATATGCCATATTGTAGTAAAAAAATTAATTAGACTATATATATTCTTTAATGATATTTGTTTAACGTTGTACCGATTTTCCTGGTCTTCTCAGTTTTTCACATTTGCTGAGAAAATTCCGGAGAAAATGGAAAACCGACTTTTCTAAAGTACCTCACCACATAGATTTCCTTTCAGAAAAGTTGCTACACGTTAAAACCGGAGCTAGTCCTCTGTAAGAATAGTTGTTTACAGGACAAAAAAATTAAATATAATTAAAGAAAATATATAATGCCTATAATTATATTATTTTCAACAAATACAGTTTGTATGTAATGTCTAATCAAAATTATGTAATTTAATTTACTATTCAATATTTTATTTTATTTAATCTCTGACAGCTACTAAGGTACTAACCCTAACCTAACTTAACTTAAACCGTGTAATTTCCACGGGCGTCGAATACCGTGGAATATCGAAAATCGTGTCGCTGCCCACGCACGCAAATCGTAATCGGAAACTATTTTTACATATAATGGAATTTTACGCTTGCCGTTATGACAATATGACAATATATGACATATATATATATATCATATAATATATATATGACAATAGTACTAACTAATTACTCATATTCTACAATAATAAACACATTTTATTTTTAGTATCGATAATAATATGACAATATAGTACAAATTTATTCAACATTCATCAATTAATTATTTGTCTATTTAAAAATTATATACACCCGACTTAATGCCTCTAGACTTTTTCCTGTGGGGTTATTTAAAGTCTAGATTTTACTTAATCTGAACCTAATCAAGGGTCCTAGAAGTGTTCTGAAAGATAATATAAGACAGGGAAAGGCCGTTATTCAGCCGGAAACACTTCGAAAAGTAATGGGAAATGCCAAAAACGAGTACATTACACCATTCATTCTGAAAGCGACCATTTACGCGATGTTATTTTTAAAAAAATATCAGAACAAATTGCCAAGTCTAAAATAGACGAAAAATTAATAAAAATTTTTTTTATTATTACCAAAAAACATACCGAAGGTTTAAATAGCCCACCATGTACTTATGCGTAAAATTTATATTTTAAATACATAATTAATATGAGTTTAAATTGTTTTTTCATATGCGTTGTCTATAAATGAAAGTTAAACAATTTAACAATTTTACTCATGAACTTAATTAAACTTTATACTCTCCTTTCCACCAAACACCATCCGAAATTGATTTTTTTTCAAATTCAGAAAAACCCCTCCAAAAATAAATTCGGGTTGCGCCACTGTCCAGACAGATTCTGATTATTAAGGGGTATCCTTCTCTCAGGAATCTGGGACTCTAGAAGAAAGTTCATTAAACACACATAACATTTTTATTGCGTTTAGAATAAAATTTATTTTAAGCCCAATGCACACCTTAAAGGGAAAAATTGTATTTTGTTTTCTGTTTTTTGTTATTGGTTTTCGACATAAAGCAATTTATGTGTATACCAGTTAGACAAGTCAAAAACCAAATAAAAATAATAATATCAAAACAAGTTTATAACAATATTCGTTGTCTAATAATGACTCAAGAAAAATATATACATTATGATTTATCAGTCATGACTGATGATGTTTATAGCATACATATTTTTGTTTTGTCTTTGTGTTATCAATGTTTGTTCTGTGTAATGCTATTTATAATGTTTTAGACTGACTTACACTGTTTAATGCAGTTTTGCTCTGTAGGCAGTGTTGAGCATTATCTAGATAAATAATCTAAATAAATAATCTAGATAAATAATTAATCACCTTTTATCTTATCTAGATAATAAACAAAATTAGTTATCTGATAAATTATCTTATGTGAATAATTGAGTTATCTAACGTAATTCATCTACATAAATAAATATCTATACCTATCCGAGAAATTCGAAAAATTGAACTTGAAAGTTAAAACCCATGTCTTATTAGTACACCAACCAAGTACAAATAGGGAACAAAACTAAAAACATAAATTAATAATATCATTCGGGTCGCTTATTTATGTTATTTCTAAATTCTAATAGAAATTGTAGATTGTAGAATCTAGTTTAAATTGACAAAAAGATAATAAAATTAAAACAATTTTATCTTTTTTTTTATCCAGATAAATAGTGGTTTATCTCTACCTAGAGAAATTGTAACTAATTATCTTTTATTTTTATCTAGATATATTTTTAGTTTTGCGTAATACTGCAGGAGAGTATTGAGCTTTACATTTAATAGCATATTGTGTAAAAGAAATTAAAAATGTCAAATTTATGTTAGAACTCATTATTCATTTAATATATAAAACAGTTACCATTATTGTACGTAAAATATTTTTTGGAAATTTGACGTTAAACATTAAATGTAAAGAAAAAAAAAAATGTTTTATTTAAATTATGAGTGAATGGTATTATATTTACATACATTTTTCAAATATATAAAAATGTGATGATAATACTATTATGATATATTCTTAAACACATCATTGTATAAATACAATGTACAATTAATATGATTATACAATTATTATTTATCAAATGTCGAGAACATAAATTAGCAAGTGATAGAGAAATAAAACAGAGTAGCCAATTCGCCCCCCCCCTCTAAATTTATGATTACATACGTCCTTGTATTGTAAAAAGTGTTGAAGATATGAACTTTCTTCAGGAAAATAAAAAATGATAAGTTCATGTCTAAAGGATAGTTACATATTTAGCAAGTTATTTGCCTTTATAAGTCATTTTTTTTTTACATCATTTAGGTTCCATAAAACAGTTCCTCAGTTGCAAATAAACCATTTTTATTCTGGTTATGATTTTAATTGACAATAATATTATTACAACCGTTTCTAGTTACCCGCCGCCTTATCGCTTATCATTAGTAGAGTTAGAGTTTGATTAGAGTTCATCATCTCTAGTTTGATTTTTCATAATCGTGATAATTTTTCAATATTAGTAGATATATCTACTATTCTATAGAATGTAACCTAACGAAGAAACTATTAGATTTACAAATATAGTTTGTTTTTCGAAATGTATAACAATTTTATAACTACTCCAAAATGCATGCAAATTTGATACAAGATTCATCATAAGTTGTTTTTATGGCACTATTAAAAAATAGAAAATCCGTAATAAAGACTTTTGCATATAAAGTTGTTCGGTCAAACCCCGAATGATTATAAAATTAATATATTGATTGATTTAATATTTTTATATTTTACAAACGAGATATGGTAAATCATAGAAGAAAAATCAATGATGGTAACAATTAGTAAAATATTTGACTTTTACCAACAGCGGTCAGTAAAACCTAAGATTTATCGGTTAACTTAGAATTTACCGGTAATGATTTTTACTGTAACATATTAGACACGATATAAGTATTATAAAACTAGAAAATATATAGAATATAAGTAAAAAAACAAAAAAAAAACAGGTAGGTATAAGATTGGTATTTTCAATTTTTTAATTTTCATAATTCAACATCAATTTAGTGAATATTTTGTTATAACTTATAAAACGAAATTCTAATTTAAAATAAATTAAATAATTAAAACTATAACAACCTATGATTTTTAGATTAAAAGTACAAAATTAAATGAAATCATAATTAATTAATATCGATTTTAATACTTACAATAAAGGTACACGTTTTGTTATGTAATCATTAATCAATTTAAATAACATCTATTTAGATGTTTATTAAATGTTATTACTATTGATAAATGTTTGATTGCCTTTTAATAAACCAATCTTTCAAATATTTTGTTTGATATATTGAATTTACACGGAGAATGAACATAGGTACACATACGATTAGGTAAACTTAACAATATTAGTTTACCTTTTTAAAATATATAAATACAATTATTATAAATTAGTTAAATATACGCGTAATACAATATTTTAAATGTGCTAAAATAGTGCTATAGTTACGCTATATTATTAATATTAAGGATTCGGTTGTCAAACTTAATGTTCGATATATATATATATACATATATTTTTAAATGTATCATATAAAAATATTTAGTATAAATAATAAGGTGAATATGATATATTCGTTTGTATCAAAAGGAAAAAAATAAATGCATCTTCGTACCTAATTATAATAATATTATGTGTTTTTTGTCCTTTGGATTAAAACTAAAATAATCGTTATAAGTCCCAGAAAAAAATTAAATTCGAGTTCGAGTTCCTACCAATTGAAGTTCGACCCACCACTATATTATAAATTAATCGTAATAAAACATTTTTAACAATTAATAGATGCATGACAAATTGGATATGTTTTGCGTTTAAAATTTCATGACATTAAGATAGTTGTGCCTAATAACAGTGTGTCTAAATATGAACCTTAATATTTTTAATCTTAAAATTAAACTATAAAAGGGAAATTGTTTGAATATTAATGTGCTTAAATTTTTTTTCTAATATAACAAATATTCAGTTATCATAATATGCAATATTTAATTGACATTTTATATAGACGACCCATACATTAGAAAAAAAAATTATGACATTTTTACAGTATAATATATACTTTTAAAACAATAGATTATGGACTGAATAAATATTATGTTGTAGAATTCCTAAGAATAAAAAGTCTTGTAAGTCTTGATATCAAACAGTCTTGTAAAAATAATATAGACACCTATACAATAATGATTATACATTGTGTACAATAATTATAACTTATAAGTATGCCTGTCTATTTTATTGGATGCACACTGATAACATTAGTGTTTAGTTTTAGAATCGTGTGTTTTTATAGAATTACCAAGCGAAATTATTAAAACTTCTCATTTTTTGATGGAGATCCGTTACTGTATGGTTTCAATATCAAGGGGTACGTGTCGGGTGGAAGAGCCATGCGTGCTTCCGGTATCGCCAATTGATCGGTGGCTTTTACTTCGTACCTTTGGAGAACACAGGCCAGCAAAACAAACCCGAACCCGGTAACCAATTGCTGCCCAATACACGTTCTTTTTCCGGTGCTGAACGGTAGAAAATACTCAGGTTTTTTAATACACGGTTTTGCGTCGGGTTTACGTTGGACGAATCGTTCGGGTTCGAATAATTCGGGATTTTCCCAGTACTCTGGACTAGTGTTGAGCTCGTAGTTGTTGATTATTATGCACGTGTCTTTGACGATTTTGAAACCTACATAGGCACACGAAAAGAAAAGATATCAACGTTTAATTATTTTATACAACGTAATATATCCTATTTATATTATATAAATGACTGCGAGGCAAGATTGAACATTCGAAATTATCATTTTAATGTATTTATCAGTTTTATTTTACATTAGATATAAAACAATATTAATCCGGACTCCATACATTAAGCATTAAGTTATAGGAATGTATTGTACAGTTGACGTTGAACTCTGCGTAATTTATATTGTTTTTCTCACCTTTAATTGTAGTGTTTTCGGTGGCCACGTGAGGAACGATGGGAGACGAGATCATGCGTAAAGTCTCAAACAGTGTAGCTTCGGTATACGGCATTTCCGATTTGTCGTAAAGGCGGACCAGACGTTGTCCGCCCGTGACTCTTTCAGCCTCGTCCCGGACAGCTTGAGCTACATGTGGTCTGGTGGCCACCATGGATAGTGCCAGCATGACCAAGTTGCCGACAGCCGAATGACCGCCAATAAAATCTTCGAGTTCGAACAGCACGTGGTCCATTTTGAGACCCGGCTCTTTACGCAGGCTCATGAGCAGGGCATCGGTGAAATCATTCGGTTCTTGTTTGTCATCAGCATCATCATGATAGTAACGGTTACCGTCGGCATCGCTAGCCTCCATTACGGCCTTTATATAACTACTCCTTGTTGACACAACATTGTCCATAATGAAACGCCTGATGTATGCCGACCATTCGGACAGTTGTTTCATGTGACCTGCGTAAAACGGCCGCAACCATGGTAAAAAATCCACCGCGTAACCCTGGTTAATGTCCCAAAATATCTCATCAAACGTCCGAACCATGGTTTGGAATTCAGGGTCCTTATAACTGAATTGTTTCGAGCACATGAACCGGACGAACATGTTGGCACAGGCCATTAACAGTAATGGTTTCAACTGCACAACTGAGTCGGATCCATCGCACGCGGTAGTTGTGGCGAGCGACTTAAAAAATACGTCTACCTCGTCGGACGCTATAGAGTCGAGAAGACCGTAGTTGGAAGAGCAAACTTTTGGTGAACAGTACATTCGAGCTATCTTTCGTCTAGTCTCTTGAAGCCACGACCAATCACACAGTGCCAGGGCTGAAATAAAAAAATTACATATAAATCATAATTAGGCTACTTTCTGGTATTATTAAAATGTTCAAAAGGAATATGCGTTAAAAATAAATTAAGATCGATACTATTTTCAGGTTTTTATCTATTATCGTAAGCTTGTACGTAAAAAATAATTTATGAGTCATTAAAGTTTAAAAATTGAGAATTGAAATAAACCATAATATATCGTATTATTAATATTATTTATTTGTACCAATTGTATAATTCATAATTTCCTTTTTGGAATCGGTAAATATTTAGTACCATTTTAGTTATAATTCAATAATGACACCTTATAATAAAAATATCTTTATGTATTCTTTGATATTATTATGCGTATAAGCTTATAGAAATTATTATATTTTTCAATTAGAATTTATTTATTTATTATAAATTTATAATAATTCAAATTTGCAGCTGTATAAGATATTCGATAAATATTTTAGCCTGCAGGTTCATTTATACTCAACCTTTTAAAAATAAAGCATCATGTTTCTATAGTATATTAGGATATATTCAATATTAATTTCGATTTCCCATTGAACGTTATTGAAAGCAATTTTTTATTTCCCTGTTTAGTTTAGCAACTGAAATTCAATAATAACTATAGGTTAATAACTAATCTATTGTTTTATTTTATAAAAAAATTATTTAGTTAAAAAAAAGTATTTAAAAAAATAAATGTACTGCCAAGAAAGGAAATTATTTCACTCAATATAATTGTCAAGTTACAAAGAAAAATATTGAAATATGTTATTTTATCGTTGACATTATGCATTATTGTTATTATATATGCTGATGTTTAACTAATTTATGACACTAGCGTATCATTTTTGCCTATGCTTGAACCCCTAGTTTAATATAAATAGGTACTAAGTATAATAAATTATTTTCTTACGGAAATATTTTCATTTGTATAGTTCTAATTGTTTTTTATTGAGTTGAAATATACCGAATACAAATTTAGTAAATTTCAAGTATTGTTATAAATTTAAAAAAAATTGTTGGACCCTTTTTATCATTTAATTCGTTGCATAAATTTCTTCAATTGTATATTTCGAGTGGCGTTTTCTAAATTGATAGTTTTAAACAATTTTTGTATAGTATACAATATAAAATGTATAGTAGGTAATACCTTCAAAAAGAGAAGATATTCAAATTTCACAGTCATTGTACATTATATGGGTATTTATGTTTGTTAGATACTGAAAGAAACTAAGAAATATCATCTATAAAGGTACCTAAATTTTTTGTTGCTATTAGACACTATAATGCTTTTTTTATTATTTTAATAAATAAAATAGCGTTATTTAAAAATCGTTTTGTTTAACACGTATTAACACGTAGTATATATCTATAACCTATTTAAGGGTCATTTTATTGTTTCGTTTCTCGTTAACTCAACGCCAACGAAATAATATGATTGGCTTAAATTATATTTATAAATACACAATATTGTTTATTGTTTCCTGAACTAGCTATATTAATGGTGTACGAGAAAAAAAAAATAGTTGTAATATGTGAAAATGCTGATCTTGTTTTTCACGATATTGAAAGATATTCTAATAATGACGTAGGTACTTAATTCGGCTGAATTCGATTGTCTGCTGCAGGCTACTACAAAATACGCATTTTTTAGGTACTGAAGTTCAATATAATCTTTATATATATATTTAAGTATATTTAGTTATAATTTTAGTACAATATTGTAATTTCGTTTTATGAAACACAACTGATAAAGTGATAACTGACTCGGTCTTTCTCGGTTTGAATTGTTTTATCGACAAAAATATATTATAATGTATTTCACGCTGTTATTAGTTGTTAACGAAATAATGAATAATATAGTGAGACTTCAAACTTTCAAAAAATTAAATTAATGTTATTTATTAAAAACAATTATAAAGATGTAGTTACTTAAGTATGGGTTTTTTGTAATATACTTAAATGATCCTAGCAGGAAGTACCTATCATAAGGGGTGTAGGTAAGAGGGGTTTGAGGTTTAACCTCCCCATTACGAAATAATTAAAGGAGTTAAAGTCTTTGTTCAACACACATAATTCACTCTTATTACAAACATTGATATTCAGGACCCCTCTATTAAATAATCCATAACCACTTTTAATTATCACCGATAATTTTATTTCCAATATTTATACATTTGTATAGGAAATAAATAAAACTGACAATATGAATTTACTAAATAGGTTATATATTATCGAATTTGCCGTTTATTGTTACGCTGGATATTTAGACTGATAAAACAAATTTATCTATATAATTTTAGAACTGTCTACATGCAAATTATCACTGTACCTGTGGTAAATATTTCGGTACAACTAAAAAAAAAAATGTGATACACGTCAACGAAATCTCTGATATTGTATCTTTCGTTCCACGGAAAAAGAGCTCAAGTTGAATTTGACATTTTTTATAATTTATTTTCATTTATTTTGGTCTAAATATGGCATAAGCGGCATATTCTATCACACTTACTTACTGAAAACTGAAATATTTTAAGCCACTATGATGTACTTTTTGTTTGGCAAATTGTTGACATATTTAGATTAGGACATTTAGCAATAATTATGCCATTATATCGTTATATGTTAAACACTTAATTTGCTTGCGTCGAATACTATAAAAAATTGTTTTAAGCCCTTCTTTCCTAGGATCAAAGATACAGTAATGTATAATGGTTTTGTCGTGTTTTTTTTTTTTTTTTGACGAAAATTGTTTGATGAACATTAAACAGGTATATACAATAGATATACACCTACGAAGCGAACCGTTGTTCGAATCGAATTCGTTTTCAACATGGTTTTCAATAAAATGTATGTGCTGATATTGTCTGTTTTGCGGGTAACACAATGCAATAAAATGTACCGTGTGCCAAGTCATACGAATTGCATAAAGATTCATCGACGACGTGTGTATACAATTTACACGCATTTCAGGCAATGTGCCGCATTATAGTTAATGATAACGTGTACGACTATAATCGCACGATGTATTTTTCACCATCATCATCATTATTATTATTATTATTATTATTATAATGCCTCGACGCCCGCGACACGACCGTACCGGTTTGTATAAATTATAATCGAAAGAGCATTGCGCTGCGTGGTGCAGTATTAGTTATCGCGCTGCGTGGTTCAGTATTAGTTATCGCCTCGGTGTTTGCATGTTATACTTACAGTTGTTCCGGTCGCCAGCAAAAAGCACGTTGTATCTGATGAAATTGGGACGGCCGCCAAACTTCGAGCCGTTCGTAATCAGCACTTCCTTGATGGATGGGTAATCGTTGACGATTACGCACGGTACGGAGCCCATGGCCATGGCGTAGACGGGTCCGTACAGGCGAGCCAGCTCGGTGAACCGACGGAACGGTTGGTCCCGGTGTCCGTCCATGGCGTGTAGGGCTCCGATTATCGGGTACGCGGCCGGACCGTTGGGCACCGTTGGCGATGGTGCGTCCCCAGTGTCCGAGCTGGTGATCGGCAGCGGTCGGCGGCGGCGGTGATACGCGGCCACGACTGTCATCAGCAACAGCAACAAAAGCAGCGGCAGTGCTACGGCACCGGCATCGGCAACTACCCCGTTCGCGGTGTCCATAGTTAGTCTGCGTCCGCCGTCGTTCGCCGCGGTCCTTATGTATATATAACCATGCCCGTGCGCCCCCCTGCGGTCGCCGAGCGCTATAGCCACTTTTGCATTAGCTGCAGCTATAATAGTATACCTGCCGCCCTTCCGCCACCGCCCACAAGGGCGGCCCGCCCTCCCCACCACTGGCGGTGACGAGTGCCTCGAAGAACCGGCATCAACGACTACAACGCGAGAACACGCGCGGCGGCGGTCGGATTCGTAAAAGGAATCGGCGGAGACGGTGCAGAAGCGATAGGCCGGTCTAATGAAAACGCCTCCAGCGGCTGCAGTGTTAAAAAAAAAAAAAAAAAATTAAAAATTACCATATAATGTGTACGAAGCGCAAACCACACTTCTCGCCGGGCCAACGGGGGAAGGAATAAGATTTATCGGATTAAAAAAAAAAATTTAAAAAAAAGATAATGTTTTATAAACCGTTTTTTTTTGTTGTTTTATAATTCCTTAAAGTCATGCGCACCCGAAAACTATGAAAAAAAAAAAAAATCGAACACGCGTGGCCGACCGGGTGACATCGCGGTGTATACAGTATCTAAAATAAACGTAATTTTTTGTTTTAATATTTCGTCCATCGGAATAACAATAATTATAGAATATGGAAATATCGTATACTTATGCGTGTGTATCGAACAACGGCGTCCTCGATTTTTCGTGGAGCCCAGCCCCGTTCGATCGCCCCTCTTTCTCGTGGTGTATTGTTTCGTATGATAATAATTATGTGTACGACGACGTATATAGACGAGCGTAGGAATCCAATGGAAAAGAAATTAAACAACAGAAACGTCAAAAAAAAAAAAAAAAAAAAAAATTATAAAAAAAACATTTATCGAAATAATAATATCTCGTAAAATACGGTGTATCATTATTAATAGTAACGTTATTGTATACTCGCACGGATATTCTATATATTATTGTCGCAGTATGAAATACACGTTCGTTTACCGCCGCCTTCCGATATTTGTTCATCTATCGTAATAATATCAATAATATCGTTTCTGTTTGTATATTTTTGTCTTGTTTTTTTTTTTTTTTTTTTTTTTCTATTCTCCATCCGTCTAACAATACCGGAACGATTCCTGCAGGTAAGTCTTAACGACGCGGCGTAAGATGTTCATTTTAAAATATTCTTATTTATCTGCATGCGCGCGTTCACGACGATTCTTATCGATTGTATCTATTGTCAATGTGTGTTCGTTGTTGCCGTTTGTTCGGAATCTAAAAAGAAAAGACAAACATACTTCGCACGATGGGTGGGCCACTGTTGTAGGTGAGAGGTTTGGAAAGTAGTATATAGAGGCGAATTTAATTTATATCTGTACGCAATAATAAACCATTGCTATAACGAAAAACGATTCAGAGCGAAATTTATTTTACACATATGCACGTATATTTTCCAGTTTTTCCTAAATTTTCACTCGGTTTTTCTCAAATGAAAATCGTTTGGAATATCTCACTACGTTCCGAATCTAAAAGTAATATTTACAGACTTTTTAACTTTGCATTCTGAGATCCTTTAGTGAAATATAAAAATGTATTTGTAGTAGGGGTTTATTTTTTAGGGCTGTGGCTGCCCTTGAAACCCTTGAGAGTTAGTGGTTTTTAATAAAAGCAGACGGGTTCTGGAGCCATGGGACGGTATTTATGAAATATGGTGAGTTATACCCATAAAAATAAAACATCTTTGGACACTTATAGATCTTTTGCATTTTACTGCAATTTCGCACCATAAAAAGTTCGGATAAAATGCAATTATTTCAATACGTATTATTATACACAATTAACTTACGAAAAAATCTAACAATTACAAATATATTATATGTAGACACATAGGGTAAGAGTCATCAAGTGTCTCAATTCTTGGCAAACATAACAAAATTACGTTACGCCGACCATAAATCGTGGCATTTAGATTAAAAACAGTTTAAGTACAGGTGATAAAATTTAAGGAGGGAAATATTCTTGATGTTGCTGTGTTTTATATAAAATATTGTCAAACAAAACTAATCTAGCAATGTTAGTTTTTATTCTTTTTTAAATAGCCGTAGCATGTTTGCTCGATAATATTTTTTTTCAGCAACTTTTTGATATTGAAAATATTCTCTTCTTTAAAACTGTGCTATTTGTGATCAAACTCTAATTCAAACCTGAAAGTTACAATTAATGTCAACGTAGCGTAATTTGTCCATGTTTCCTCGTTAGTTAGATTGAGATAGTGGATTTAGGATGCATCATCCTCTTAAAACAGAACTATAACGGTACCGTTTTGGATAGTAAAAATACTGCAAATTATTTTAAGGTATAGTAACTTAAAATATCTGGATTTTTGTATTTTGTATTTTTTTGAAATATTTCCTAGATTGTAAAAGAATTATGATATTTTGGTTTGATTTTTGTTGGTTAATGCGGATTTCTGTGACTTTGCGCCATGGGTAAATGTATCATCTGTATCACTGCTGTTGGTGGGAAATTGGGAAGATAGGATATATAGGATAATTTTGTTTATATCTGTACATGTCGGTGTATCATTATTGATTTTTAACGAAGAATGATAATAAGAAAACACGTTTTGATTAACTTAAATTGAGAATTAATAATAGATTAATATAATTGACATCTATTGTGATTATTATTATTATTAGTGTTCAGATTTTGAAGCTCAATAAAACATTAAAAGAAGTACTCAAAATAAAGCAAAAAAGCAGTAAAATTTTTAAATTTTTAAAAAAACATTAATTATTGCCAATTATTTTTAAAATTTCATAATTTGATTACTAGTTTAAGTTAATATATAATTTAGCAGTAAATATGACGATAAGTGAGTAAATGTTATTATAAATATTATGACATCATAATAAAAAATGTCCAATACATCGATATACATATTACATAGATACATAAAAATAGTTTATCAGACGAGCAAAAAAAAGCACACATAATAAAACCAATAATTTCTCGTTAAGCTCAAAATGTACGATTAATTTTATTGTAGTCTATAATAAAATATTTTTCTAATTAACCGGAATTTTTGCAAACAATTATTGTTGCATATTGATTATAGAAATTACAGAAATTAACAAAATTACTAAATATTATATCCTAAGCCTTTGCCTTTTCAACTTCTCAAAGGTTGCAGCCTAGCTTTGTGTTTTATAGCTATACGAGAAAACAATGTTAAGAAAGCATCCTTTGTAGTATAATATTGTATTATAAAATCACTTATTTAACATATAACTATTGTTATCCATTGAGTTAAAATTTTTTTTTCGGAGAATAAGCTATAGAGTTGTATAATACATTTTGTGTACGCCGCGACGGAAAGAACTCAAGTGTAAAATAGTAAAACTGACAATAATTAATAATATTAAAAATAAACCTAAAACTGAAAACAAAGAATAAGAATTGGTTGCAAAAAAAAAAATTGTTTACATTTGGTTCCTATTACCGAATAGACCTATTTTTTATTTTTATTTCTTTGTAAAACAAAGTTTTAAAAATTTAATTTAAATCATTTCTAAGACGAATAATTTGTAATGTTCCATTAATAATATAATATTGTGTGACCTAATATCATAAAACATTAAATAAATATAATCCGAGTTTTTTGTTAGTTACCTGTTAATAGATATATAGATATATCGATTATATATATATTAATTTTAATTTTAATAAAATTGTTTGTTGTTTACAAAATATTTGACTTTTTTTCAACTCCTGGTGGCCCGTACTATTGCAGAATAATTTCAATAAGGTTTTTTTCATATAAATAATACCAGTAGTATATTATTAATTTAATATTTTACCACATTTGTTCCGATTTGACAGGTAATAGATTTTTTGGCTATACCGTACAGAAAAACAGTAAAAAAAGGCTAGTTAACTTTCTTAATAGGTATCTAATAACTATACTTAGGTACATTGAGAATGTATTGTATATTGTCGATATAGACGGAAATTAGCGGTAGGGGGGCTAAGGCACCTCAAATATATTATGTGTTAAGTAGTCAGTAGTCACTACTATAAATAACAAGTGTATAACATATATATATAGGTAACATATATGTATACATATAAATACATAGTAATTTGCGATTAAAATATTGTTGGAGTGTGAATTAAAAATACAATTTTACGAAAAAATTAATCTTTGTGTTTTATAATAATAAAAATTGTTTTAAAATGAATGATTTACTTTGTATATTATAAAATTTAACATACTTTTGAATTTTGTACTATATATTACTATAACAAGGTTGTTACTGTAAAAAAACTATTGATAGGTATTTTTGTTGTTTTTTATAAATTTTATAACACTCTTAAATACAATTTTTAAGTTTAAATCTCGTTATTGAAGTTTAATTAATTAATGATGCTTAAAAGTCATTTCGAAACTAAGCTAGTTTATAATATTTAGTTTATAATATAATTTATTAAAAAAACGTCCCAGGATAATAGAGACGGGTGTAGCTACTGTTATAGGTAATTTAATGTATATCTGTAAGCAACGATAAACCATTGCTAATGAAAAAATGATTCTGAGCGCAGTTCAGTTGATAGTGATGCTATGTCAACAATATATATGACATATTATGGTAAAATTATTAAATAGGCATTAAATATTTTCATTATGATATTTGTTTAATATTTTCCCATTTGATATTTAATATTTAAAGATTTTCCCATGTTTTTTTCCGATTTTTCCCATTTATTAGGAAAATGTTTGCGGAAATCGAAAAATGACCTCCTTAAAGTATCTTCACAATCAGATTTCCTTTCAGAAATAGTACTATCATTTGAAATAGAACCAAAATTGTTGGTAAGAAAGTTGTACATAAAAAAAAGAAGCCATAATATTTTTTTACGAATACCTATGTTTCATAAATTTTCCGTTTTTCCGACATTTTATCCCGTTTTTTCCAGATATTATGACAACCGCTTGAAAAATCAATAAACTA